TCGGCATCAACTCCCTTCTTCTCTTCCTCACAGACTCGGTGTAATATTCATTTATATAATTAGATCCTTTAAGCTTCTTTGCTTGTTGCAGTATGTGTGCCTTATCTTTCTTTTTCATCAACTTTACCATCACCGCCCTCGGTCCCTGATCAGAAGGTTTCCCGACTCTGTGAGCCCGCTCCATCTCAATTTCTTGATGAATTTGCAGTTTATCCTTTAATATTTCCTTCACCTTACATTCCGCTTCCGTCCAGCTTTCTCCAGCTGACTCCTTGATTCCCTCGAAGATCAGGTTTTTTTCGCTTGGACTGTACTTCCAAATGCTCCATTTTATCCGTTATGGCTATTAGACTCTCACAAGTTTTGTAGACATCATCCCTCGTTTCCTTGGTTTGTATTTTCTGTTCACCCATGGCAGCTTTAATCACGTCCCTGTCTGCTGCTGCTGCTGTTTGCTGGGGTAGTAGCCCGTAGGGCTACTGAGCAAGCTCCCCACACCGTCCTTTTCCTGCATTAGCTCTGCAATAATCTGCAGAAAGGGAAGGGATAGAGGATTATAACAGGTTTCAGATAACTCATTCCCTAATGTTTTCTTAAGATCTGCATCATTACTATAAAACTGTAAAAGCTTGTTGATTAAAGATGTTTGTCGTATTGTGTATACTTTATAGCCACTTTGCCTCCAAAATACAAATTCATGTATAAATATTTTTAGATTCATACAAAGGTTTAACATAAGTTGGCACATTCATAAAAAATTCTATATGTACAGTGCCTTGCGAAAGTATTCGGCCCCCTTGAACTTTGCGACCTTTTGCCACATTTCAGGCTTCAAACATAAAGATATAAAACTGTAATTTTTTGTGAAGAATCAACAACAAGTGGGACACAATCATGAAGTGGAACGAAATTTATTGGATATTTCAAACTTTTTTAACAAATAAAAAACTGAAAAATTGGGCGTGCAAAATTATTCAACCCCCTTAAGTTAATACGTTGTAGCGCCACCTTTTGCTGCGATTACAGCTGTAAATCGCTTGGGGTATGTCTCTATCAGTTTTGCACATCGAGAGACTGAAATTTTTGCCCATGCCTCCTTGCAAAACAGCTCGAGCTCAGTGAGGTTGGATGGAGAGCGTTTGTGAACAGCAGTTTTCAGTTCTTTCCACAGATTATCGATTGGATTCAGGTCTGGACTTTGACTTGGCCATTCTAACACCTGGATATGTTTATTTGTGAACCATTCCATTGTAGATTTTGCTTTATGTTTTGGATCATTGTCTTGTTGGAAGACAAAGCTCCGTCCCAGTCTCAGGTCTTTTGCAGACTCCATCAGGTTTCCAAACAAAAAAAAACCAATAAATGATGAAAAAAAAAAAACGTGTACATCCAGGTGGGTGTCTCTCTGGTCCAGCAGGTGTTGGAGGTGTGTGACCATGTTACTCGTTATAGCCTCCAACTCATCTGGGTGCATCTCACTGGACTCCAAGCAGTGCAGATCCAGCACATATTCCTTATTTTGGGTCAACTGGTAAACATGGGAAGGGACAGTCAGGGAAGCAGGGGAAAGAGCATAATACATTTGGTTAACAAGGACAGCATGTCGTTTGCAGTTCTCTGGTGGCTGTACAACTTTCTGTATCCACAGTATTCTTTATTTGTCCCTGACACAAATATGAGGACATAACACTGATTTACTGTACAATGATGCTGGGACATTGTGAGGCCCATGTCATATAAAAATAGAGGAGATACCTCCTGAATATGTGCAGCTATGGCAGCTTTTGTGTCAAAGTCAAGCGCCTGGATCCTCTCTATGTATTCCTCTTTCTTTTCACACTGGAAAAAAAAAAAATGAAATCACATTTAGACCACTAGGAAATTAGCACAGGCAGCTTAGATGTGGCTTCAGCTTAAGTTGTGAAAAAGAGGTTGTTCTGCAAACAAATCTGATAGTGTCCTACAACAAATTATGAAGTCTTCATATACTGATTGAGCTTACACATCGGACAGTCAGTGTTTACCTGGACTGCACATCCCAACAATAACAGCAAAAGTTTCTTCATTTCCTCTAGACTTTGTTCTGTTAGGAGTGGAAAAAGAGTTTATTATTTAAAAAAAAAAACAGACTATAGTAGTGAGAGCTGCTGGCATAGATTTATACTGAACAGAGCGCTGACTGGTGAATGTAGGTCGCCACACGTCAATCCCTACAGTTGTGTGGGGGTTATCAAACTGATAATATGCATTTTAATTAGATGTGTATCAGAGACAGCCAGGACAGTCAGTGTGTGAGTAACCACTGCAAGTATTCCATGCTAAAGTGCTGTAATGCCTCTTTTTGAAAAGTGCTACCATTCATTGTTAGAGAAAGATTTTCATTTGTTGTAAATTGTTTTCTAAATGCAATTTTGCTCTCCTGATTTTCAGAGTTTCACTTGGATATCTTACCGAATTAACAGAAAGCAAATGATCCAGGCCAACATTAAACATATCTTATGATGGATACAGGTAAATTATAGAAAAGCAATTCAGTGTGTATTGAGTATCAGCAAACAAACTAATCAGGCTTCTAACCGGCTTAGCAGCTCCAATAGAGAGGAATGATGAGGAATATGCATGAGATTTCTTTAAAAGACCATACCACAGAAAGGAGTCCTGCCAAGCAGTAGCACATTTGGCAAAGGAGTCTTGATTAATTGTCTCAGGTTATCCAGCAAAAAAAAGAGAGAGAGAGAGAAACAGAAAGAGATGAAAGTGATGGGTTAAGAAAAAGGAAGCTAGACACATTTTGACCAAAAAAAAACATGGACAGAACACATAAAACACTTCTTGCAGTCTAGTCAAAGTTCCTGAATGGACAGGAGCGTATGTATGTACAGCGCATAGCAGCTGCTTAAACATATGCATAGAAATGCAGCCAAGAAATGGATAAGTGCTCTGAATGGGCAGATGAGAGTCAGTTTCCCTGGTGCAGTGGTGGAATCCTCCAAAAGGGTTTGGTTTGGCCTCGAATTCAGCCGTGAGTGCTTTGTGTTCACTCCTGTTTGTACAATATGAAGTATGTGCAGTGTATCAGAGATTGTTAACAGCTTCTCATGGGAAACAGTGCCCTTTCAAAATTCAGTAAGTAAGGAAAGCTACAGCTGACTGGAATTATTTAGCCTTTGATGCTATACAGTCCAACCTGCACTGACTGACTGCTGCTCTGACCATGTGAAAGTTCAACCGACTGGTCATTGAGCTTCCATCATTTTCTCCTTTCCCATCTCTTGACAGAGTTATGTGCCATGAAACATATAGACTTTGGTGATCCTCTGACTTTTCAACCAGCACCACAAGGATAGGATAAGGATAAGAGTAACTCTCCTGTGAAAGGAGGTTCACATTATGGTTTTAGGTGAAATACCTCTTGTACATATGTTCACGGTCCCCAAAAGATTAATCCTCATGACTTTTTATTGAGCACATCAAAATTTGAATATGTCCATTATTTTATAGTGAATTGCTGGAGAGCCTGACAGAAAACAAGGGAGTTACCTTGAGAACTAATGACATTCCCATTAGCCTCAGCTGTACGTTTTGCTTAGTGATAATTATCAAATGTTAGCATGCTAACAGACTAAAGAAAGATGATAAGATACTAAACATCCTACACGCTAAACACCAGCATACTGACATTATCACTGTGGGCATGCTAGTAACCTAAGTCTGTGACTGGCAAGAGTTACTACAAATTAAGCAATGATTATGTTTAAATGTGCTGTTAATGATATGTGTTAATGGGTGATAGCAAAAGTAACAATCATATTATTCCTCTACAGTGCTAATCCATTGATTGTGAAATTACCTTACTTGTGATACTAACACATCTGAAAGCTTAGCTCAGACTGTAATTAATTACTGCGACACTGAAAAAAATTTGAGATTCAACATTGTCGAGCCTACCCATGAATCGTGGAACTTTAAAATTCTGTCTGTCTGTGGCTCTTACTACACCTTTACTGTGTCTCTCTGCTGTGCTCTAACCCTGCTCCTGTACTGATTACACATGTTGACATGGCTCATATTTAGGACGTGTTTTGAAAAAAAATTACTTGATCTTCTGGGACACAAAAGCTACAGACTATCTGGTGTGCATGTGTCCGTGATGTAGAACAGAAACATCCCTAAATCAAATGTTCAAATACTAGATTGAAAGTGTGGCAGCTTGTAGTTTGGATACATTTATAGTATAAGATATGAGAAGGGCAATAAACATCCAAAACTCACCAGATAATATGTCTTGATTTGCTGGACAAGGAGGTTCAGGTCCTGGATCCTTTGACTTGGATCCCTGCTTACTTTATTTGCAGCCTGGGATATAACTGAAGGATTTCTGAAGATGGGAAACAACATAAAGAAAAGGCACTGACATTTCTGCTATTCACACCCAAATGTCTGTCACTGGAATGGAGTGTGAGGAAGCTGCGAGCTGGTAAAGGTCTTGGCTCAAGGATTGCCATGAGAACATGTGTGAGGTTGCTATTCATTCCTAACTTTAGCCTGTGTGATGTCATTCTTTTCAGACACCAACGTGGACAGTTTGTGAGCCAAACAGGGTGGCGTTTGATTTTCCAAACTAAAGAAATCCTTTAGTTGGATTCTTGGGCTGCTGGCTCGTCGGGCCCACTGTGGGTTGAACTGCCACATAGTGCAGTCAGTGTGTTATCATTTATGGGCCTCTGTGCAGTAATATAGGTCAGAAATCACCTTTTTGCTCACAACGTTTGTAAAATAAAAGGCTGGAGACGGAGAGATCCTACTTTGCTTGTCTGTGCATCTAATTGTTTGATGCATGTCCCACTGCCACTAAACACCAGCACCCAGGCCCTGATCCCAGAGGTTCTCCCAATCCAGGAGATTATCCTGCCTCTCCCCTCCCCTCCCCACAGCATTATTTTGCATTTAGAGCTCATTACTGTGACCCTGGGGATAAGTGGGATGAATGGATACTGATGATTTAGGGTGGCTAGACAGCGTTATCCACAAGTGCACTGGGTCATCAGTTTTTCTTTATAAATCTTTTCTTTGCAACTCTTCAATTTTTGTTTGGATTCTACTTTCAGTGTCTGAAGTGCCGTTTCATCCTAACATGAAGGCTAAAGTCAGGGTCTCACCACCTATCGACTCACAGCTGTAACTCAGTTACAAACTGCCAAAGACTATCAGTTGGTGTCTGTTGAGGGTGAAGGTAATTCCCTCAGAACATGGAGCAACTAAATTATAATTTCTTAACAGCATCTATGATGTCCCCTGCGTCTTTGCAGAGCTAGTGTTCTTCTTTAAGCTGTTGTCCCTCAGTGTAGGCTGTACTGTATATCTAAGTTTAACTTTTATGCCCATATAAACTTTCTAGAGTCCTGAAAAAGTTGCATTTAAAGACAGGTGCAGACTACAAAGATCCCCTTATTACCCTAGAGTCACAAAGCTCATACTGTTGATGCCTGAATAAGAATGATAACAGATGCTTTTTATTGTAGATAATGATTTCTATTTGAACCATGTACAACTTACATGTTATTTGAGCTTTTTCCTCTTAAGGCCTAACTGTTAATCATAACATAATGACAGATGCCATATCAAGCCAATGACAGCAGTTTGACAACGCAGGCTACTAATCTAAATATCCGTCTAACACAGTTCATAACCTAAACTGACAAATGAAATATTAGCTGTAAGAACAAAGCTGGCATTATGTGACTTGTTAAAATCACAACAGCAACTTACATCTGTCATTATGTCATTCAAAAAGACTCCATCCAGTAATTCAGCAAACTCCGTGTGTGTCCCCCTTATTTGAAGCAAATGTCTTCACCTGCATGACAAGGACAATACAGGGTGAGAGGTTGGTCACACAGTCTGTGGCAGCAAAGCAGAGCCTTCTGCATTACTAACTCACCCAAGTGACAAGAGGACTCAGCATGAACTGATCCAGACAGGGCAGAAACACTCCACTCTCCATGTTACCAAGGCTGTGGGTGATAAATAACAACAGAAGACTGACAGCGACTACACTTTCTTCAGAAGTGGGCCATCTATTTCATTTAAACTGATAATTTTCTTTTGACACTGCGATTTAGACTGTTCGGTGTTTTCTCCCATAAACTCCTCTGGTCATTCCATCCACGAGATCCCGCGGTTTCAATGTGTACAGTCACTGTTCAGGCAAAATCTCGTCCGCAGTTTGTCCCGCAACACCACGCACACGCACACACACACTCACATCCTCTGCTGCAAAGACATCCACGGTCAGTGCCCAGCAACCCCTCCTCCTCCTCCTCCTCCTCGCCCCAGCTTCTCTGCTCGTCACGCACAAAGTTATCACTGATGTATGAGCGATCTTTTTAACTCAAAGTGGAAATATATATACTGCTTTTTAAATCAAATCTAGTCGAGACAGTGAAATGGTCTTTTGCTTTGGATGCATTTTTTGAAGCGAATGCAGCACAAGCACTAATAGGGCGATCGATCAAACAGCCTGTATTTGCCATTAATCGGTTACCATGACAACAGTGCCCACACCCGCTTCACCGTCAGCAGTGGTTTGTGGTTCAAGATACGAACAGTCATTAACAAAATAAGTGCACCGACAATTTATATTAGTGTACCGAATGTTCTAATTAAAACATACAACATGTTTAAATATACAACTATATCATAAATATAGAAGTTAAAAATTGAAATTATGTTAAAAGTTCCACTTGTTATTTCTCTTAATTACTTTCCAAGTTAATTCCCTGAACATTATGATTCTCACCCACACACTTGTACTTTTATCTTTGTGAGGACACTCGTTGACATAATACCTTCCCGAGCCCTTTGCCCTAACCTTACTCATCAGTACTAAATGCTAATTCTAACCAGAACCCTAAAACCACATCCCCAAAAAGCTGTTTCAGAAAGTGAGGACCAGCCAAAATGTCCTCACCTTCCAAAACTGTCCTCACTCTGTAGCCATAAATAAATAAATAAAAATCTTTTTTTTTTTGTCCCTCACTATGTAGCAGGTACAAGAACACGCACACAGTTTCAGCTCTATCAGTATAGACCTAGGCTAACTCAATTTAAAATGGCTTAGCCTACTATTTCAGACTGATACCTAAATGGTGATGAGGTTTTTCTCTCTGAATACACTGAATAAACTCATCATGCCAAATTATGTTGACAAAAGTTAGTAGCCTGTAATTGAGCTACAACCCCACCTTGTATTAAAGAGTGGAATAACGTGTGTTCATTTTGTTACTAGTACTATGGAAATCATGTACTAGACCTATTATAGTGTAACTTCACAGTGTGTTATAAAGTGGTAAATAATCACAATTAACATCTTCTATCATATACTATTTATTATCCTGTCCAGTTGCACTATTAAATACATTTACTCAATGTAAATGAGTATGTCTACATTATACTTTCACTAAACTTCATTTTCAAAAGAATTACTGTTCTTTAATTTTTTTGCTATGTTTATCTGACAGCTGTGGTTACTAGTAGCTTTCCAGAATAGGATTTTACAAACTAAACACATCAAATTATAAAGTATAACACATAGTTTTAGACTGAGCTACGGACCAGTTAAAATTTAAAAGGAAAAACCAACAAAGTGTCTCAGTAAGGTGCCGGGTCACAGGGTGCCACCAGAAGAGTGTCAGTGCAACTTGGCACTGACTCCCCAAGTATCTGAACTCTAATGGAGGGATGAACACCATTCTTCAAAAGATGTTCCCTCATTTGGTGTTTTGATGATGGTGGTAGAGAAGCATCAGTCCACATTCCCCCACAGGTGTTCAGTTGGGGTGAGATCTGGTGACTGTGACGGCCACAGCATATGATTCAAGATTCAATGACCCACTGTGCCCTGTGGATGGGGACACTGTCATCCTTGAAGGGACCACTCCCATCAGGAGAGAAATGTTTCATCACAGGATGAAGGTGATCACTCAGAAGAACTTTGTATTGCGTTGTAGAGACTTTTCCCTCTAAGGGGACAAGTTGTCCCAAACTATGCCTCAAAATGTCCCCCCACAGCATAAGAGAGCCACCAGGTCCCCTCATCGTAGGGGTCACTCATTCAGGTTTTTCCTTTAATTTGTCACACATCTGTATATACTGTGTGATACATAAATAATATATAGGTGATGCAGCTAACTGAGGGACCAGCACACCCAAAAAATGAGTACTCTTATTGTTAATACTTTGTGTATTCTGCTGATATTTTAAAAAATAATTTTACTTAAGATTTTACTTAAGATGAATGTAAGAATTACTTCATTAGGAAGTATCACACAAACTTTAAATCAAACATAATTTGTGTTTTGATTTTCAATTGTTTTATTTTGCCACAAGATGACTTTAACCATGAAATTATGCAGCTGTTTAAGAAAGTGTAACGGGTACAATTTCAGATGATTATATTATACACACTGGCCTCATTAGATACAGTATGTCTGGCTTCAGATATGCAGATACAGCATTACATAAACACTGTGTAGCTTTTTGTTTAAATCCCACAACAGGAGTAGATTCGGTGACTCAGTATTCCTCTTTATGCGTCACGTCTCATTTTCATCTCAGTTTGAATCACCTCACAAAAGGGCACTCTGGGGATTAATTTATAGCGTGTTAGTGGCTCTGATAAAAGGAAAATAGAAACAGTGGTTGAACAGTGCTGCAATAGTCAGTGCTAATTCAATTGTGCAAAGTAGGAACCAAGTTATAAAGGCAAAGCAGATCATGCTGAGATGAACATGACAATTAGAAAAAAAAAGACTGTTATAAATACAAATGAAAACATTCAATGAGAAGATTAACAGCTGTTGTATCTGTAAAATTACTGCATGATACTGTGTATGTATCATTCAAGAAATTCAGTAGATTATAATTGCAGGCAATATACTGTATCAATAAAGCCCTACATTTTTTTTTTTTTTTTTTTTACAAATTAGTAAGCATTCAAAGTTTAAAATCTGACTTGTTTGGTGAGTTTGATGGTATATTTCTGTAGGATACACATGTAGATCGTAATGATTTTATAATCATCATATTGCTTGTCCTAGTATAGTTGGAAATTGCTTTCAACATTCATGCAGCAGTACATGCTCATATAACAGTCAATTAATATAGTAGTTAGAAATACTATTACTGTAACTTGGAACTGCTTCAGCATTGTCTTTGTTGACTGTAAATGAAACTATTAAAATAATGTTACAAAATCAACTTAAGTAATAGATTAAAAGTCAAGTCTATATTTGTATCTGTTCTAGTTCTAGTATTCAGGTTTATGAAGCTTTAGTATATAGAAAGGCATTCTGTGCTTATAGAGATAAAGGGTTGGTCCATTAGTTGTTATCCTCCTTGGTCTCCTTATGAACCTTTGCTTGTTGCAGGTTCCTGTACAGTATATGCCCTGATGACCTTTATAGGCTCTTAGCATAATGTGACCTCCAGTCTCTTTCAAAAGCAGCCTTGACGTGCTCCAGGATTGTCACCCCGCTGTCTTTAAGACCTTTTTTCATCGTGACTGCCAGTCCAACGCCTGCATTAAAAGCAAAGTCACTCCCAACCCAGTCATGGTTCCCTGTGGGCAAAAGCAAACCATAAATATTTGCAGGTATTAGCTCAAAAAAAAAAAATCTAATTTTCTTGATATGTGCATGCACATCTATACATAGCTTGGTGTTTAAGTGCCTTTAAGTGAGCAAATATTTCAAAAGAGTATTCTGACATTTGGACAAGTAAACTTATTCATTTTGTTGCTGAGAGGTAGATTTGAAGATCAGTACTTCTTTCATATCTTTACACTAAATCCAGAAGAAGGTTAGCTTAGCATTCAAAGGTAAAAACAAACTACTTACAGCTCACTGATTAACATGTTTTATCTTATTTGTTTAAATTATTACAAACATCATAAAAACAACAAGTTACAGTTTTACAAAAAACAATCTGCTGGACTATTTCTTGGCCAGGGACAGTGACGTCCTGGAGTTTTTATGGTAAAGACAAGGCAATAGTCCTCCATAACCCCCATAAACCATACATTAGATCCAGCTCTGTGTGTCAGAGTGGTTTTGTGTCTGTGTGTCTCTCGCTTCAGCTCAACCTCTGACTCATTCTTTCTGTTATTTGCATCCAGTCTCCCTCCTTTGTCTTTCATGTCACACATTTATAAATCTGTGGCTTCATATTTAATGAAAAGGTATGAGAGTGGTAGCCTATCAGTCTTTTCATAGAACATTCTGCAAGACAGTGAAGAAGCTCATTTCCTTGAATGTTGTACTATTTCTTTTAAAGAAAAGTGCTGTCTGATGTTTTTAAAATAGCACAGGACCTACTGAAATACCTTGAAAATGTGTAACACAAGTAAAGTAAATGTGCTTAAATGTAAATAGAACCAGTTGCAAACATATAGTGTACTACTGTACATTCCTTACCAATGTAAAGAGCATTGTCGGTCACCATGTACTTGTTGTGGTTGAGTCCATGCTGAATATCATCCTTTAGCTCTTTGTGACTAAAAAACCTCTTCAAAAAAGTAACAAAATTAGTATGTAAAGGTACCACACCCACTCAGTTTAATAGTTAGATAATAAAACAAGAACGTCACTGCAAATAATAACCTCATTTACGTACCACCTCTAGTGAACAATTGTGCAGCTGCATGCAGAGCGCCTTGAGGGAGGTGACAAAGTTAAAGGTCAGGGGGTGAGTCTTTTTCCAGAAGGTTATCAGCAGGCGAACCTTGACTCCTCTGAGCACCACGGCCTCCCTGATCACTTCATCAATGGGTGACCAATACCTACTGATGTTACCACTGTTAGACAATGCTTTACAATGCAAAGGCACTGATACACACATTTTATGGTGTGTTTCTCAAATTCAAGGAATATTTGTTTTTCTTCCACAGACCAATAAAATACAGTTTCTAATATGGTTTGTTGCCGTCTGGCACAAGCGCATCCAGAATGCAAAGATGAACTGATTTTATAAATTTAGTCAAAAGAAAATGTATGTTTCTGATGTCAAAACTGTTTTTGTTGTCAGACTCTGTACCTTGTGACTGAAGTTCCTCTGACGCTCCTGTTCACCAGAGGGAGGTAGTCAGTCACAGAAATGAAGACAAATGCCTTTGCACTTTGGATGACTTGATAGATGGCATCTACATCTCTGGTGCGATCTTTGGGGCAGAAGAGATCAGGAGAGGTCTGCAGAAAAGGTACATGACATAGTTTGCACCCAAACATATACAAATCACCAAAATCTAAAAACTTAAAGCTCTAGAATTTGGACAACCGTGTAGTTTAGACCACTTTTAATATTCACAATTCAACAAGCAAGTGAATATTTACAACCCAGTGAAAAAAAATCACACTATTAAGAACAACAAAATAACAGAATGGTGTATAATTTTACAAAATGTCTGAATGCATTAGTGGAACAATTTGACATTAGAAGAGGTAAAGCACAAGGGCAGGTTGAAGCTGCCAGCATAGATCTGTTAGTTCCTATAGTATGATAAATGCCCTAAATGCTGATGAGTAACTTGTCGTTATGAGGGTTACAAGATTCATTAGTCAAATAAGGCTGAGGGACTGAAATATTCCCACTCAGGATGCTCGTCAGCATAATAATGACATTATGAATCACCCGCTGTATGTGTCTGTTGGTACTAAACTTTTATAAAGTTGCTCACCACCGAGTCTAGTGGCCTTTGGAGGATTGTAAACCAGTCAGAGAAGTTATTACAGACACATAAGTTTGTGCAATCCGGGGTTTTGCTGTTTTGTATAGAGTGCATTTATGTATTAACCTGTAGTTAATGTAGTGAAACATGAGTAAAGTGTTCCTCACAGACACGTAGGCAGTGGCCTGGGTAGCATTGAGTTGCAGCTCCAGGGCTTCATGCTTTCCGTACAGGGCTGTAACTCTCTTCGACCAGATGGAGGGGATGTAGTCCCTGTCATGGAGCTGCCAGTAAAATGAAAAGACTCGGTGGAGGTCCAGAGCCAGACAGCTGCAGTTATACACCACCACCCCCAGTTCATTCCTCTGTAGGGCATCAGACAGGAGCACACAAGAAGAGGTAAGGCAGAGGAAAAGTCGCAGCCTGGATGTGGGTGTAATGGACAAGCTTAACACATATAAAAAAGCAATAGTTCTACTAAAAAGTGCCAGGTAATGACTTCAAAATACAGTACTAATAGTCTCTGGTTCTTCCTCGACTGAGAATTACATATTAAAAAAAATAAAAGGCTATTTGTCTTTTTGGCCCACCTCAGGCAGCAATCTTAAATCATCCCCGATGTCAATTAAAAGGTGCTGCATAGAAATCTGCATGTGCATGGTGGAACTAGCCTAACCTCTGTGTTAGGTTTTATGTCCCCATGGGAAGCAAAAGTTATTTAATTAAACGTGTGACTCCAGCTTTTATGTGTGAGACCATATTGTAGCCCTTATGAGGACAGAAATAAATTGCAGACCTGACCACACCTGACCGCAGAGGCTCCTTCATTCTTGGATTTGATTTTCCATTGTACACTCATGGTGTTGATGCTTCCTGTTACCTTTGAAAGTGACCTCCAGTCCATATCAGCGCTCCCGATGTAAATGTGCTTCCGATCCACTATCCAGAATGAGGAGCGGAGTCCTCCTCTGGTAAGAGCCGTCATATTAACAAAATGAACTTCTGCATCTAGACAGAGTGAGACACAAACAAACAGAGACAGCGGTATGAGTATGAAATGTTTGAAACAGAGAATTAGGGCCAGACATGAAGTTTATATGATGCGCACTGTGGAGCCACTGGATGAGGCTGTTTGCTTTGTGTGCAATAAATATTGTAGGTGGATGGTGTTAGGGGATATAAACCTTCATTCTGGTTTGCTAGAGTGGCACAACAAATTGCTTTCATAAAATAAAAGTATGACGGCCACTCACTGCTTGCTGACAAGGCCTTCAGTTCAGCAGAGTTAGTCAGACTGCTGGCAATCTTCAGTTTAACCCCACGAGACTTCAGGCTGAGCAGTCTCTGGAACAAAAGCTGACCCTGAAGAAGAAAGGCATGTTCTGTGTAGTCCAGCATTTGAGCAGTGTCTTCAGATCTTCTTGAAAAGGTCAACATTTCTCAGCAGGACTAAGCTTATTAAGAGATTACATACAGATTTACTGGGAAATAATTGCATTTCCTCCCACTGAACATCAGGGAAATGTCTGTCACGACTTTGTTTGTACCTGTTTGGCAGCACCTGGCTTTGTTTTCAGGTCCCAGGAGTTTAAGTCCCAGACAGGTGACACCACCTCAACTGAGTGCCTTGCGTTGTCCAACAGTGTGTGAAAGCCAGCAGAGAGAGGGAGGTGGGGTCTGCCATCCATGGAGAGAGTGAGGTCGTCTGGAATATTTTCCACAAGCACAATGCTGAAAAGCAACACATGCTTCTTGAGCTTCTGGAGCCTTAAACGTGACCTGCACTGATTGTTGACACCACCTCTTTAGTAGCACCACTGTATACTGTATCTGAACAAAGCTATGTAAAGCCCTGGCACAAGGTTTTGACATGGAAGGACAAGAATGTTTGGAATAAAAGAAATTATATCTTTTGCTTGGAGGAACATACAGTAGATAATGAGTTAGCAGAGAACAAATTTGGGTATGCTACTTTAATGAATCATTATGCTGTGATTAGTTCATTGCATGTCACCATACACAAATACAAACTCTTTCTTTTTTTGCTAGATCGTGCTGCTGTGTCTCTCTTGCAGAACTTCTTACCGGCAGTTTTTGCTGCAGTTTTCCTCTGTGATTCCATCCTCATTGTCCCCCAAGATGTCTACTGATGAGAAGATCAGTACCACCAGCACAGCAAAGCAGCAGAGAAGAGCAAAGATGGCAATGCACTTCTGCTGGGTCTGGAAGAGGAGCGAGATGCACATGCACTAATAAAAGTCAGACATTTTCTTTATTGGGGTGTTTATATAGATGGATAATCAAGACCATCGTACAGCATACAATTCTGCAGTTTAACAACTTGGAGAGGTAAATTTTAGATAATGTAAAAAGTGAAATGATCAGCCTTTAAATGCTAATTATGTTAGGATTCATTATCAACATGATGCAACTGCTAATTGCTCAGGAGTGAAACTCCCCCAGCTTCATAAATCTGACTTCTTGCCCCAGATAAGTGAAGGGGAATGCTTTCTAGATGGCCACAGATTGATACACACTGAAGCACACCCATCAGATATATTGGACCGCTCTGGTTTATACTTTTCTGTACACTGCCTGCTTTGTCACTGAAGTGAATCCCAGCTGAAAGGGGCTTTACGACCTCTGTGCCAGGTTGGATTCATCCAGTGCTGCATTTATGACAAATATTATTAAAGGCTATATTTGTTTGCATGACTCTACTATATGTGATATACACTGAAATAAGGGTGGAGCGACAGTATGGTCAGAGGTTATAATGCAGCCGCAATAAGGGTGGAGCGACAGTATGGTCAGTGACTGATGCAGCCTGAGGGGATGTGATTTTCACTGTTTTAAAAGTGCAGTCAGACATTTCTGCTTTGCTTACAACAACAGATTTTCACTGTCTCATTCCCTGCCCTGTGTGGTTTTGTGAGGCATCAACATTTTATTACATATTTCCTTTTGTTGTGTCTGATCAGTCAAAAGAATTGCATCTTGCTGATAAGTTTAGTAAGTGTAAGCAATAGTTTTTCTCAGAAATATGGCTCCCAGCTATGACTGTTATAAAAAAAAATCAGCACTCAAATCATTAAACAAAAGAAAAACTGTATTCAGCACATTGTCAGATGACAGGGGGTCAGAGGATGTTAATCAACCCCGTCTCCCACTCTTCTCTGCGTTGTCTGTTGCAGGCAATGAGACTGAAACCAGTGCCAGTCTGAGGTGCTTTACGTTCCTCTGTTGTCCACTGAGCTCTTCATTACATTTAGCAGCCAAGGACCATCCTTGACTTGTGGCTGTTTACAGTCTGAGAGGATATAAAGGCTCAACAAGACTGACAGAGGGAGACATGTCAGTCGACATATCTAACATGAGCTGCTGATGCTATAAGATAGAATATTTCCTTCACTTTTGCAGTAACACATTTGGTACAAGCATAAAAACAAACATGACATACTGTAGCTACCACTGAATTTATAGCTGAAATGATGAATGAACCAAAAGACAAATAATTGTGAATAGTTTCAATGGATGATATAATGTTGCTGCTAAATTTTCTCAAAGCACAACATTTTATAAACTAGTCAATAAGTTAACAAGCAAAAATGCCCCAAAATATTAACTAGTTCCAGGTTCTTAAATCTAAAAATGTTCCTCTATTTGTAAAGTGAATGTCCTTGTTATGTGGCCTATTGTCTGATAACATTGTCTTGGGCTCCTAGGGCAGTCCAGACAGTCATTTGTTTAGTTTTTTGAAAATATATAGACTAAAAGACTTGAAAGCTATTGGAGAACATCCTCATATCAGTATATCTGTCTGAAACATTTACTGTATTGAGCAAAAATGCCAAATATTAGCTGGTTTCAACTTCTAATTTGTGAGAATTTTATTATTATTTGTATAGTTTTAAATACAATGTGTGTGGGTTGTTTGGACAGAACAATCTTTGGCCCCTGGGAAATCTTGAAGGTTGGTTGTTTTTTCTTTTTTACATTTATACATTAAAAGAAGATTACTCACAAAATTAACTGGCAGCAACTTTGGTAATCAGTTTAAGGGCCATTTATTGAGCAAAAGTGCCAATCTATCTTGCTTATTCTTCTCAAAGAAGAATATTTCCTTTATATAAAAATAAATGGAATATATTTGTTCATTGTTTCATGACAATTTAGAAAGCAAACAATTAATTAATAATTACAAAAATATAATTAATTGCTAATGAAGGGAATTACTGTTGCAGCCTACACTGTCACTGAAGAACACTGTCTCAAGATGGTCATTCAACGAATTTAAAGCCTCTTACAAATGACTCAATATAAAGGAAGCCAGAAAAACAAGCCTAAGGTGAATGCACTAAATTCCCAGCAAGAGACAATGTGAGAATCATAATACATATTAAATAGATGCAGAGAAAAGCAGGTGAACGTCACCTTCACAGGCTCCTGTATGGTCTGTCCTGCCATGGGAGCAGCGCTCCTTCAAACTTCTCTGACAGGTGGGAAACAGCAGCTCAGTCACACACCTTCGTAGCCAGTCAGTCTTCAAGCTTTGTCAGCCACCCCTCACTACCCAGCAAGCCCGCCCGATGTCTTCACTCTCTGCCACTGCCTTCAGCTCTTCCCTGGATGGTACAGTATGTGTGTGCACCTCAGCACCTGGCCCATCCCGTTCTTCCAGCCTCAGCCTGTGCGTGTGTGTTTGTGCTGCTTCTCAGGGGAGGCAGTGGGAGAGATGGAGAAAGACCAGTCCCTTTCGTTCACATGGCCAGTACAGAGCTGTAGCTACGAGCACCCCACCCCCACTTGCTTCCACCCTGCTCGTCCTCTCCTTTATCTGCCTTGTGAACAAAACTCATCTGGCAGCAAGAGGCGAGGGAGGCTGAAACATGCTACTGGTGATCCATTGTGTGGAACAGCAGCAGCAAAGCTTTCAAGTTCTTCTCAACTCATTAGGCCAGAAATGTCTGCTCTACAGTATACTGTATGTACACAATTTAAAGTATCCACATACTGTAGCTCCCATTAATGTCAATAGGTGACATAACTATAAGGCAGCAGTATTGTCCTAATTAATCCTGTGTTTTATAATCACTGTAATTAATGCACATTTTAGTAGTGTACCCAGTTCTAGAACAATCATGTAGCTTCAAATCTAAAACCCAGCTTTACTGCACAGGAGTGGATGAGGCTGTTTTCTTTGTGTCCCTCAGTGGTAGGGAATGAAATATGTAAATGTTTTATTCTGCCCTTTTGACCTAGCCCTTTTCTCACAGATGAATACAGTGTCTCCTAATAGGAGAAAACAACATATGCTGCTGACTGCAGGCAAGCTCCTGCTCAGCTATGAGTCCAGCACTGTATGGGGAGTAAAGGAAGGAAATAATGGGGGACAAGAGAGAAATTAGAGAAGGGCAGGCTGACACAGAGGGAACATGAATGAAGTCACTTATAGGTTGGAGGACTTGTTCTAAAGTTGCACATAGGGGGTCAAACAGACCCACTTTCTAATAGGGAGAATCAAAATGCCAAACAGGACTGGACTTTCACTGTTTCACTGTCGTGTGCACCGACATTCAGCTGAAACACAGGGCAATTTTTGGCTGAACAGCATGCTGAGATCCCCGGCTGTCAGTAAGTGGCGGTCATAGCACTACTGACATAAATGCTGCAGTGATGCAACACTGAATACCAATTTATGAAATGCCTACCTGTATTTTCAAATGAAGCAAATCATTATAAAATAATAAGTCTACATCAGGTAAAGACTTGAGTGTGTGTATGCTATGGCAAAATCTGTGGAGTAAAAGAACCTTGGGGCTTATTTTCACTTTTAAAGTATTTTTTATTAAACAGAACTGAGGAGTAGGGACTTGTTTCAGCTGCATTTCAATGATGATTTCTCATTGAGATGAAGCTGAAACAACTGGTATATGTAACATCATCCAAAGACATCCAAACACTGTCACTCAGTGATCCAATTACCCTGCTTCGGACCTGCAAACTACCCCACTGGCACACATTTATAATCATTCACCATGGCATTTTGTCACTAAGTTGTCGACCTCCCGTCACATCCTCTCACACCTCTGTGAGCTCCTATGAAAAAGGCTTCTGTGTAATAGTTTCACCTTCACACCTAAAGCTCAACAGCAGGTTTCCAGGTGTACACAGGACGTGATGGGTTCTTTTGTAATGTTGCCATGAGGTCATAATCAGGGCGATATATCCGAGTGAAAGCTGGCAGAGTGTAATGCCACAGGATACTGCTGGGCCACATGCCTAGGTAAAAGGTCAAAGACTGAAGAACCAGAAATTTGATGATTTATAATTTTCCACAGTCCAAGGTGATATACACACATATTAAGTGTACTATTGTTAATGTCAGGAAGCAAATCCTCACAAATGTTTGACATTTTTGCTTTTTTAACTGCTTTGAATGAAAAATGATTAATTAACTCAAGTGGCTAATTATTTCAACCTTGCTCTACTTACCTTGAGATAAAGCAAAAAAAGTATTCTATCTATCTATCTATCTATCTATCTATCTATCTATATTGTAAGGTTGAAGGATCCTTGATCTGCATCTGTTCTGTCTTAGTGTGCTGTGTGTGTATAGGGTGCATGTGGCAGCAGTGATGAAAGTGGTAATCAATTCTCTTTGGAGGCTATAGAGCTCAGTTGCACATTTATCCAGCAGAAATTCCCTAGCGCTTAGGATGATGCACCACAGGCATGCAGAGTGAATGGGCTTCCAGTGCATGAAACTAACACCTCTCTTGGGCTCATAGCACGCCATGCAATGCTAGATGGTTTCTTCACAGTATAGTTTTACTTCACATCCGCACTTAGATACTTAGAGTAATTTAGAATATTTAATGTTAGAGCATTCAAGTGAGTGGATGACCCCAAACAAGGTTTTAATTTCACCTTTTTACTTTCCAAAAGGCAGATATACTGCTAAATAAATCATGGCATGATGTTTGACAGATACTTGACAGTTGGCTCACCAGTTCCAGCTTGACTTTGCTTCGCAGGAAGACAGAGGCATCGTAGTTCTGTTGGGCAGCACTGAAGCTGCTGCTTTTCAGCTGGGACACACAGGGCACGAGTGATGGGGGAATCTCATCTTGCCCCCTCGACCTTGGATCATCTGACAGTTCCATTAACCTGTATGTCGCTCTCTGCTGGGGCACAGACACAGACTGATGTACATAGACACACACGCAGATGCACAGACACACAGTCAATCAGACATAGAGGAGCTGTCACTCATCTTCCCTCTTTTCTGTTTATCATTCAACAGCTGAGTCGGCCACTATTGTTCTCTGTGCTGTCTGAGCTACAGCGATCACCCTCACTGTTTGTTGCTAAAGCATTGATGCCTCCTCACGCACGTTAGGGCGGGTGTGTGTGTGTGAGTGCGGTCTCCCAGGAGGGATGGGAGGGGCATGCAATGGGCATCTAGATGGGGCGGAGGTGCAACAGGAGCTGCTGCACTGGGCAAGACTGAGAGAGGCAGACACTGAAGGAAAGTAATCTGATTGAGAAAAGTGTGAAGAGACTATCACACATGAAGACACGTACACACCGACACACACACACACACACACACACACACACACACCTGTATGAAATTTAATTGTGTCCATTTGCGCCTCACACACAGAGACAGAATGTCCTGGGCTACAGCATAGCAGTATAGGAGCCCTTTTTCACAGGTCAAGAAAGGCCAGATATGCTTGCTGTGAAAAGAGCACACACACACACACACACACACACAAGATGACTGGAAATTTTTATAGCCTGCATGATTTATGCTATGGTACAAAAAAGGTGTAACAACTGGCTTCACACTTGTCTAATTTGATGCAGAAGGTCCATAGAAGAGCTACTGTACCTTTAGATTCAAGAATTCAGTCCTTGTACAGCTTTTAAAATAAAACTGCTATTATTTTTAAAGTCTACATTTAAAAAAAATACCACCACAGATATCATGCATGGTATCTGTCTGACCGCTCAAATTACACTAAATAGTGTATAGGGTACATGCTGTGCATCACCTGGTTAATATTGGTTATTCCTATACATTAAATGTGATTAATGATTAAATGTGTCAGCATAAACAAATAAGCTTTTATTATTTGCAGTAATATAATTGTTTTATTTGTATCCAGTAAATGAAGCAGCCTATAGGGAACCTGAGCCTAATAAAACTAAGTGGGAACAATTCAGCCAAACTGTTCCCACTTTGGTGAACCCCTGCAGGAGTACTGATGTGCACCAGCAGCTGCAGTGAGTGTTGCTCACAAGGGAGAAAACCCTGACACAGCTTTAAGGATTAAGAAATTGGAGCAGAATATCTCAAGATGTACAATTAGTTGAGTGGCTCTGGCAGTGTTGCCTCTAAAACCTAATTTGTTGTGAGCAGTTGCCTCAGCAAAGAGTAAGAGAGAGACCAGACAGCCAGGTGGACGGCTCTGCTTGAGGAGGATCTGGAAGGCTAACGTTTTGGGTAATGACAGGAGTTCCCGGGGTGATGAAGAGGTTAAATGGAAATTTAAATGGAGTAATTACTTTTTACCAGAGCTAAACAACTCAGATTTACCCTCATCTAATTTAGGCTATTACTAGCCTACCGTACTGTAACACTTGTATATTTAAAAAGTATGTATAACACTGATATCAATGTTAAAAGACTGTCCGAGGGCAAATTCAAGTTAACTCCTGCTTTCAATTTTTTCTTAAATAGTGACCATGTGCAGTTTATGAAACAATGGGTCCCTGGGCAAAGACAAGTAAAAGACCCCCACCTCTAACATTGTAGGAGCAAGACACACAGATTTAGCAACTAGTTTGTATCTTTTTGTGGTTCTTTTGTGTCCATTTTTAGCCATTTTGTGTTCATTTTTTACCCATTTGCGGTCATTTACACCTGTTTTTACTTGTTTTGTGTCTATTTTTTAATGGTTTTGCCTCTTTGTAGTTGTGTCTTATTTAGTTGTTTGCCATATGTTTTATAGTAGTTTTGCTGTCTTTGGGGTGTTTTCTGTCTGCTTTTGGTCATCCGTGTCTCTTTTTAGTGGCTGTATATCACTCATTTTGTGGCTTGTTGTAGTCATTTGTTTGGATTTGCAGTGGAACAATTCTGTGGTCTGAGGGCCCCTGGGCTTGGTAGGCCCGTTCAATGATCCACTAACACTAAGGCATGAAAGAAGACTACTGCTAGCAGGTAAACATGGATGTTGTACAAGGACTTGCTCAGTGTGTCTGATTGAATGGAAATGGCCATTTCTAACAGGGCACCTTTGATAAGAGGCTTACTTCATATTTTATAAGCTCATATGTTTTCCATATAAACATTAAGTTGGCAATGTACCTAGTAACTACAACTGTCAGATCAGTGACATGGAATAAAAAACCAGCAACTACTTGGTTAATTGGCACAAAATTAACCAGCAAATTCTTGTTCCACCTCCTCAAGTTTTGTGACCTTTTAATTATACATGCAAACAAACAAACTAGTTCCTGATTATCATGCATTTTATTGTAAATGAAACAAACAATAAACAAGTATTGCAAGGTCAACATTTAACCTAACATCATTACAAAGAAAAAACAATCATACAAAACATCCAAACCAAAATTCTCCAAAGGCTCAAACAGAACTAAAGACAAAGTACAGTAGGTTCTGAGCACAAAATGCAGTGACTGATCAAAGTTGTTTTGGCTAAACTGTTATCACCAGCTGGTTACATTCATGTGTAAACATTGGTACGAGGCAAGACACTGGAAAACCTACAGTCATTGCACAACCCTTCATTCCACAAACAATAAAATGCAGCTGCAGGACTCGGACGTAGTCCCTGCCTATGCTGGTTCAAACATGACATTTTGTTTGTGATCACAGAGTAATGTGACAAAATGTTCATCGACAGACTCTAAACCCTGTTTTGATCGAGGACATCAGTGTGATAATGATGCATCATAGGGGAACATCATGTCCTGGTCCCTCTGAGATGAAAACGGACATACATTGGCTTTAAAATGTGCAAAGAAACTAACTTGCCTCCTTCTCACCATCTCTTATACAGTGCAGTCTCTCATCTCCAAATGTGATGACTGATTCCAGGGCACTTGTAACCGAAGACATTTGGGAGAGGAAAACCTTTTTGTTTTGGGGAGCTACATTTGATTCCATATAGTTTTCCATTGATGCACTGGTTACAAATGACGTCAGCACAAGAAAAAACCCATGGATGGGAGTTTTTTAATTAAACTCTAATAAACATTTACACTAGTACATATTGTGCATACCCAGTTCTTTTCCTAGCAAATCAGCACCATGGCCTTTTCATATGGAAAATCATTACTGAGCTAGGTTTGGGGGTTGAAATTGCAACAGGCCGAAAAAAATCTTTACTTTTAGAAATAATTCTATAGCAGGATAGAATAAGATTTTTCACACACACACACACACCTCCACTTAGTCATCTTTTGACACCATTGCACTTTTTCTAGTTTTTAAATTGGCCTTAACTCAGCTCACTGACAAGCTTAGGATTCAGAGATTTCAAGGCTTGTATTTAAACTGCAAGACTGAGTTTTACTTTTTGCAAAAGTCAAAGATGCTCTGATTCGAAAACAAAACACAATAAAATAACTTATCATGGACTTCAGAAAGTGTATTTTGGACATTACATCCCCTTATCTTTAACAGCTGTTAAAAATGTTTTAAGGATAATAAGAATGAGCTTCAACACAAAAGCACAGATGGTTTATTGTATATTAGGTCAGAGCATCTTCATACACCTACCAAATAATACTGTTATGTCATCATATTGTATATCTGACATCCCAAGACCTGCTGTTTGTGAGTGTTTTACATGATTTAGTCTGACTGACAGGACAGTCAGGAAAAAGAGGCATCACTCCCCTTCCTTTATCTCATCTGAAACAATATATTAAAAAAAGCTTCTATCCATACACAATTGCATTGGTCCAAGGGATGCAGGCTGTCCAGTATTAAAAGATGAGGTCTGAATTATTTCCTTGGCATGTCAGTTGTAGGATCTAAAGCTCTGTTGCGGCCCTGGGTCTCGCTCTGCCATCTCTGTGTGCTCTGAGGATCCACACGGGTCTGAGGCCAGTTCATCGGGCCTGGGAGCTGAGAGTGTGCTGGAGGACGCTTCACCCTGCTGAGCCCCAGGAGTGATCTTCTGGTCAGTCAGAGGACTGGTTAGGCCCAGGTTGGACAGGGCATCCAGGGTGCCATCTGGGTCCACCATCATGTCGATGACTGTCAAATTTGATCAGAATTAAAAAAAAAAAAATTATAAAAATGATTGAATTTGAAAATTTGAATTTCACTTTAGTGTAAAACACTTCTTGATTGGTAAAGACTTTTTTTTTTTTTTTACTGCTTTTGATCTAAAAACTAAATAGAAACATCAGATCCATACCAAGCAGCTGTCTTTCTACTCTCTTCAGGTCTTGAATAATGGTTGAAATCTCCTGTTAAGAGAACATCAATAAAAACATAAAGGCTGCTTCAGAATGTGATTAAGTAGGTGAAAGTCCATGCATCAAATAAATCAGTTCATTTCCTCATTGCTGCAGGAATGGGTTTGGAGCCATGCCGTGTATACCCAGTAATGCCTTATGAGCCCTGTGACTTATGCCATGGACAGACATATCTCTTCAGGGGTTCACAAGGTCAGACTGGAAAGGCAGAATTCACCACCATGCCCCTGAGAGCGGCAGAAAATTTGTAGACCCACCTAACACAATAGCTTGTAAGTCTTTTTTCTCCATCAAAGCAACGATATTTTGTGGCTTGTCTCCTTTAAAATGAGCATTTGGATGGTAATCAAAAGGGCAAATGGATTGTTTGGTTTGCTCCCTCAGACACTGTCAGCAGCCAGAAAAACAGCTTCATGAAGTAATCAGTAGTTTGTAGGAAAGGAGTGGATTTGATACTATTGCATTTTCTCCCAACCAATGCAACACTAATAAATTACTGACATAAATAAATTCACAGTCAAAATATATCATTACTGTAGCCATAAAAATGTACCTTTCAGACTCGGTCTTTCTATTAATTTATGCCATAATAATGCAGAAAAGCAAACATTATTTTGATTAGACCTCTGTAAAATTCCAGTATATGGTTACTGTAACACAGTTAACCACACAACACCTGTTTACACTAGCAAACGACTCAGTCATGTTAGTGGCTCTGTCAGTGCTTTGAGTTAAATGGTGCAGTTTTACAAGCAGGTAAAACAGACAATTGTGGACAGGTTTGTTACCTTGTTGGAGCTCTTGAGTAGTAAGGAGTCATGCTCTGCCTGTAGTTTGCTCTCAGTCTCTTCCCATTTCCGTTCTTTATCCTTGAAGAGGACCCTGAAGGCCAAGTTGTTGCAAATATAGCAAAATACATGAAGGTATGTTTAATATAGTTCTTAATAGACGTATTAGTTGACTGGTAAAATGATTTCATTTTGACATTTTCTGCTGAATGTGGGAATGAAAAGGCCTTTGAGTTGTCACTGTCTTTCTGATAATAAGACATGTAGCTACAGTAGGCATCAGAGTAAAGCTCTGTGATGTGCCACTCAAACTGTACCGGTGTAGTTCCAACATTAAACACAAGCAGGAATTTTAAAACACAGTACAATATGTTCCTATTTTTACAATTCTGTCAGCATTTGCCTTTTTCGGAGTCTGCTGTAAATTTAATATAAAACAGCAGACTGCAATAATAGCATATCCCTTGGATGATACACGATGATGCTCACCTGATTTTGCAAGTTGTTCTGTCAACAGACTGACGTATCCTAGTTGAGAGTTGATTCACAGATGCTAGTAGTAAACTGTCTAGCACCGCCTGATGGATGATGTTAAGAAACATCAATGTCAAACAGTGGTATATAATAACTGGGTAATGTAAATGGTGGAATTCTAGAGAGAAACTTCCTTTTCAGTGCTATTCCTAAAACTGTCCTAATTTTACCCGTGACCATTAAAACGTCTTTTCTTTTTAGCTCAGCTCTTAGCTTTTGGCGTAGTTTGTTTGTGGAGGGGTGACTATAGTTGTCATGCAGGGAGCTCACCACTAGTGGCACACTGAGGCACCAGATGACATGCTGATCTTGTGGTACACAACTACTGGACAAACGAACGTTCATGAGCTTTGCATGACCTACAGCCGTCGTTCATTTCAGAGGAACTTTAAAAACTTTACACAAAACACCGTGCATACTAAGTTCACAAGGTTCCTCTTTATTCATACCTGAAACAAAGAGAAATTCAATCTCTGTATGAGGCCCGAATGACTGCAAACACTGAAGCACATACTCACATCATCTCTGTTCCATGTTTGTCGGCGGATGGAGCGGGAGCTCTGTCTGACAGAGCCTTGGGGTCGAAGCTCTGCAGACTGCCCATTGGTTCTCAAAATGCTGCTGTGCTCTGTGGATGGACCACTCAGGTCCACGCTGTCATCAAATACACGCTCCTCCAACTAAAACAGGATTCAAACACGTTATTTCAGTAGTCCCTATTTTTCCTGACTAATTTGACTGTATTAAGTGGGTTAATAAGAATTACAAAACTGCATTATTATCTAACCCAGTAGACAAAGAAACCACATTTTCCTTTATTTTGAGTGTTGTACAATGTGTCAACTATACCAGAGCTCCAGGACTGACTGTGTCTGTCTCTCCTGCCACATCATGAATCTCTCTGGCAAGCATGGCTAAGTCTTTGGCTAGGTCTTGGCTAATCCTGATGAATAAACACAGACCGTTTATATATGTGCAACAAACTGTCCTCTTGTTTTCTTTAGTTGAACTACACAACCAAAACTAAAACAGTAAATCAGTTCCAAAAATGTAATGGCAGGAAAAGCATGCTGGATACTATTATGATTCACTGATGCTCTCTAGCTGCACTAGAGCACCTCTCACCTACATACCTGGCTATTTCCTCACTGTGTGCTGTCCAGTCTCTCATGTACTCATCCTGTTCCCTGGAGTGTTGCTTCAGCGCAGACAGGCCACCAGGACTAGGAGTTGCTGGAGCTGAACCTCCTAGCTGGGCTACTCGGGTAGATGGGAATGCCCGTGTGTGGCCTTGCTTGGACATGTGGCGATTTGAGCCATACTCATCCTCTGAGGTGGAGGCGTACTCCACAGGCACACGGCGCCACCTAGTGCCAGCTAAGAATGGTAGAGAGGTTTATCTGTTACTTAAAATGTGGGGGTGTTGTCTTTATATATGAATAAATGTTCTTTTTTAGGAACAATGAGCTGTACATGCAGGTAATTATGGATAATTGTGTAGTGTTTAGGAAGGACATGTAGGTGACCGATATTATTGCTTGTGCTATTATTTTTGATGAAATGTTTTAATATACATATTATGGAATAAAAATACTTACATGCAGGTGGGACATGCCCATAAGAGGAGGTGCTTTTACTCTTGTCAGGCAGCTTGGAGGCACTGTTAGCCCTGGCTCTGGGTCCAGACACTGAGGTCACACTAGAACCTCTGAGTCCTTGTTTAATTGCATAATCAGCTGCTGCACTCCGGGCTCCCACACCTCTACTTCTTGTCACAGTGGCCTCTGAGTCGCTCTGGGCAGAGGGAGAACCCACTCTTGGCCTCCTTGGCTGTGCCAGAGCTTCTATTCTGGACATTCCCCTTCTCGCCATCCCTGTCCTGGATGTGGAACTAGCGGTAGAGGCCTCAGAGGCTACTGACAGGCGATCAAGATCGACAGGCTCGGTGTCTGATGAATCCCCAAGTCGGGCTCGCCTCAGCAGCGATGCCCTGGTGGGCCTGGGCTTGGGGCCACTGACTGGTTTACTTGGTGCAGACGAGCTCGCCGCCTGGGTGATTTTAGCTCGACTAGACTTGGTGCTGGCCCCCACTGTTGTGTTATCTGTCTGGGCTCTGGCATGAGAGCCTTTAGATTCCTGTGTGGAGGTGTGCTGGGAGTCTGAAAGGAGTGAGGTGGAGTTGACATCATCGTCTGTGAGATCCAGAGAAGCCTGGGGGCGGTTAGGCTGTGGAGGACCAGAGGTTCTGGTCTTGACCCTCCTGTCCTGGGTCTCCCGGCTACCGGTAGGCATCTTACTGGATGAGCACACTACCGTTCTCTCCTTCTGCTGTCCTGCAAGGGTCTTGCGCTTCTGGACAACTTTCCTTGCTCCTTCAGCCTGGCTTACTGTGCTTGTTGTGTCCACATCTGACTCTGGTGACATGGAGCCTTCAATGGACTGACTTGGTGGATCACCTTGATCTGAAACTGTGGTTTCCAGAAAGGCTGCCACAGCCTCAGAGTCTTTCTGCAGTGTGGTGCTGTTGATGCCAGTCTCCCTACTTTGAGTTCTGCTGCCTGCGAGCCCATCGATATGTGGTATGAGCTCAATGGGCACGTTAGAGCTTGGTTTCTCCACAGTAAAACTCTCCTGCCTCAAAAAGGGTTTTCCACTACTTTCCCTAGCCTTCTCCTCTTCCTTTTTCCTCCTCCGTGGCTCCTCCATTCTCTTCTCCCCACTGGTCAGTGGACGAGGGGGCAGCTTGGTCAACATACCTGACTGACCTGATCTCCTGCCACCACTGTCCTGCGATCTTGCTGGTGAGGAGCGACTGGGGCTGCCACTGTGACTGCACACACCTCCCATGCCGTAACCAGGCCTATTCTTCCCCCTGGCCATCTTGTCCCCCTGGTTCTCCTTCTCCTGTAGCTCTGTGTCCTGTTTTTCCCCCATATCTGTTCGCAGGCCTGAGTCTGGGTTCCTCCTTCCTAGGGCGACCTCCTCACCAGGCAGCTGGGGTAAAGTTCTCCTCTTACGCTCTGTGTAGCCAGAAGAGGCAAAGGAGGCTGAGTGGCTGGACTCACTTATTTCAGCTAAAAGAAGAGAACATCTATTAGTAAAGTGAGTCATGAGATGAACATGTATTACATATCAATGGTGGGCAGTATTCTAGTAGCACATCTAGTAGCAATATGTACTGTGGTTTCAGTGATTCTTTTTCTACCAGGTGAACTATGAGATGTTATTTTGTTCTTCATACAGTGTGTCAATAACATGTCAAGCAATCTGTCATTTTTACATATCAATAACTTAAGCTAATAATCTTAATTTTATATGGAACCATAGCCTTCGCTCTCTACTGTGCACTGTGTACGGGGAGCTCAGCAGCGCCCTAATATAAATTGTGGAGAAAAATGCAGTGGAAAAGCAAAGCATAAAAAACCCCATCAGCCCTTCAAGTTCCATTAGATTGTGGATGTAGGAAACTCCAGGTTGCGTCTTGTTAATTTTCCATGGTGGAAAAGCTATATGAGTCATACAGCGATCTAGTTAAGATACATTTTAAGCAACTGGTCACATAAGAATAAATGAGAATGCAACTACAAAATCCTAGATTGTATTAAATTAATTGAGGTGCATGTTATTTCTTAAAAATTCAACTTTGCATTTGTAAAATGAAGGTTGTGTTATTTCTTCTTTCAGAAGTTACATGCTAGTGTTACTTTTACAGCTACACTTTAGAACTTTCGTGTTGCTTTAAAGCTACAATAGCTTCTGTAACTTTTGGAAATCACAGTCTTCCTCTTACAAATTAACCGTTGAATTCATAATCAGTAAAAGGCATCCTTGCTCATTTCAGTACACGTGGTGGTTCTGCCATACTGGCCATGCCTGACCACACTTGTTCAGGTACAGTATGACCAGTAGCTTTTGGAGTATAATTTTATCTAATGTGAGCAAACTTTAGATTTACTGTATTTCTGTGAAGCTAACTATGGAGTCAACCCGACTCCCTTTGTGACTCTTCTCTACTTGTTAATGGTGTCTTGTAGCCACATTTATATACTTTTGCTGTAAATGAACAAAATCCGTAAGTCATCGCAATATTTACCCAAATTCTGGGAAAAGAATACTCTGATGAGGTCCGCAGTAGGAATCTAACTGTGGACGTTGTGGTTATGTGGCATGTGTGACTGTAAGTGTTCAGCTAACAGGACACCTCTATAAACCAACTCTTTGTTTAGAAGAAAGTTTATACCTCTGTCCTCTGTGACCATGACATGACTCTCCCCTCCCGATCCCTCGGGGTCTGTCCTAATGTGACTGGCAGCCAGAGTAGCCCACTGCGAGACCCAGCAAGGACCACCCACCACCAGTTCCTCAGATAACAGCTGGACAAAAGCAGAATGGAAGATAAAGTAAATGTTATATAAAGAGAAGACTTACAGTATTTAAACAGACCAGCAGTAGGTTGTTGGTTTTAAGCTAATAAACATTTTGGACTGTTAATTTAGCCAAATTTTTAAAAGAGACGCTTTCAGTTTTCCCACCTCTGTCTCCATGCGTCCAGGCTTTCCTCTGTCTCTGGTACCAGACCTCTGGGAGGTCAGCTTCTCTCTTTGGTCAGTACCCCCCAGTCTAGACACACAAACAGCCTCCTGCTCATCCACACCAAACACCTGGAGTATATAGAGACAAAAGAGTACCAGCACACACAAAACTGTATAAGAATGATTGCTTCATGATATATTATAATCAGAAGCTGAGTAGATAGAGAAAAGGGATATATTATAACCTTCACCTTCCTCACCTTGTCTATCAGTTTCCTAGCCTCTTCCTCTTCACGATCTCCATTCTCCAGCTCAATGGTGTACGTCCCTCTGTCGCTATAATCATCTGCATGGTGAAAACACTCATCACGGCCACTCTGCTGATGTGGTGCCGAGCCACGTCGCTTCTCTATGAATCCACCTGCCACTTTGGAAGTGGATGACTTGCGACAACGTGCAGGACTGTCCTCCTCTGCGAAGAGGCCCTCTGGCACGTTAGCACGACCCTCTCTGATCTTCATCCCTCCACTGTTCCAGAGCCCCCACGAACGCTCCTCCAGTACCGCAGCCCTGCGCTGCTCTCCTAGTGCATTCTCTGAATCACTCTGAGTGCCGTCCTCATGCTTGCTGCCTGGCATGGGATGGGCAGAGGAAAACGTAATGGCTCAGAAGGCGAAGAAAGACAGATCAATTAGACAAGCAAGAAAATGAACATCATATTGTTGTGTGAAGTAGGCTTGTTATAAGGTCACACAGAAAAAACACACACCTTTTAGGCTCCTCAGCTGTACAGGCACATCACTTTTCACACTTTCTCCATCATCCTCAGCAACTGTGTCTTTGAGAGCTAATGGCAGTTCATTTTGGGCCAGCCAGTCAGCAACTTTGACCTCCGCTGCTACCATGGCTGTCTGAAGCGGGCTTAGCTCCTCCCCACCAGGTCGTTTAGGCCGTGGCCTGGTGTCTGGTCCTGCCTTTGCCACTCTGTCTTTGACGGTCACTTTACCTGATGCTCCAGGGTCAAACTCAATGGTGAAGGAAGCGTGGCCATGAGTGGGCTCTGCAGCAGTAGAAGCGCCGGCCTCTTGTTCTTGTGAGGCGGCCTCACCACTCACTTTACATTGCGAGGGGGTATCCTTGGTTGGGATCTCGAAGTAGCTAGGCTCCTGAGTGGAAGCTGTTAACAAGGCTGACTTTGGGACTTCTGCAGTTTTCTTGGTGTCTGTAAGAACTCATGCAAATGTTAAGTACACTAAACACACTCCACAGTAATTACTGCTCTGACTATGATATAAAGTCTCATACAGTAGTATCTTCATATAATCTTTATACGGCAATGGTAATACCTATTTCAGCTTTTTCTCTCTTCCGGTCTGAGCTCTTTTCCTCAGGCTTCCCTGGTTGCTGCTCATCAACGTCTCCATCTCCCCACCAAGCAGGCTGGCCATAGAGGGGTGTGCCCCTGTGCACAACTGCTAAATCCCCTGGCAAAATCAAACAACATGATGACATGCCTACATTTGACACAGCTGAAAGTTTTGAAACAGCTTGGGAGGTCTTGCCCATAGCCCAGAAGCCTATTGCTATATCCTCAATTTTACATCCAGCCAGGGACCTTCGTTAAATGTCATTTGCTATCTTTCTTGTCATCGGTCTATTGTATGCTGTATAATAAAGGCATAAAATACTCCAAATAGAGGGTGCGGCCACCCTGGGCTCACTTTGACAAAGGGGCCGATCTACTGACCTGATCTGCCCGATTGAACTTGCATTTTTTGTTTAGTTGAATACTTTGAATAAAGATTGTTTGCATATTTTGATTGTGGCAAAATAAATAGTGTGACCCTGTCTGTGTCTGTAACCCAAAACTCAAATATATTCACTTTACAGATATACTGTAATATACAAAACAGAAAAAGTGCAAGTAAGAGCTGGAAATATTTGGCATTTCTGATGGATTAATTAATTAAATGAATCATCAGAACTGGTGTTTAATCTTTTGATAATCAACAAATAAACTTAAGTACTTTTCAGCATAATCATGATCAATATGTTGTCCTAGGTTTGTAGCAAATTTGTCAAATTGGCAACTAAAGTCTGAGATTTACAGCACACGTTGCTGTGACCTGTAGATAAAGACATTAAAGCTACAGTATGTAACTTCAGCTAGCACTAGCATGAAACCACTCTGCCCTGTCCACCACTGTCTGAGTCTGAGTCACAGGAGGCTTCGACAGCCCCTCTCCACATTAAGACAAGTTTTGGAGCAGATTTCTGCAACAGAAATATTTGAAAAAGTACATAGTGTAGCTTTAAATTCATGCCACTCATATGTTCGTACGGTTTTGTCTGTTGTATCTCTCATGCTGTACCTATAGATAGTCGTGGACGTCTTTACTGCTCCTCTTGTCTGTTCTACGATTTTTCACATCTTCTACATTTTCAAGACAACTTCAAAGGTTTTGTGCAACTACTTATGGAGACAAATAACAAGAGACTCGATGACATGACCAGAGAAATACAGGAGATAAAAACAAGTTTGCAGTTTACCCAGCGAGAGGTGAACGTGATTAAAGCTGCCATGGGTGAACAGAAAATACAAACCAAGGAAACAAGGGATGATGTCTACAAAACTTGTGAGAGTCTAATAGCCATAACGGATAAAATGGAGCATTTGTGAGTACAGTCCAAGCGAAAAAAACCTGATCTTCGAGGGAATCAAGGAGTCAGCTGGAGAAAGCTGGATGGAAGCGGAATGTAAGGTGAAGGAAATATTAAAGGATAAACTGCAAATTCATCAAGAAATTGAGATGGAGCGGGCTCACAGAGTCGAGAAACCTTCTGATCGGGGACTGAGGGCGGTGATGGTAAAGTTGATGAAAGAGAAAGATAAGGCACACATACTGCAACAAGCAAAGAAGCTTAAAGGATCTAATATTTATATAAATGAAGATTACACAGAGTCTGTGAGGAAGAGAAGAAGGGAGTTGATGCCGAGGTTAAGGGAGGCCAGGGAGAGGGGAGACATCGCGTTCCTGCGGTATGACCGACTAGTGACCCGACCTCGGAACCAGAATCCAGGACCTATGACCAGCACGCCGAGGACCAGTATGCCGAGACAAGGAGAGTATGAAGGGGTCGCTGGACCCTCAGCTGTGTGAAGAAATACGCAGGTATATTGATATCTGCCAGGGCAGATGAGGGTTCGAACCAACAATTAACAGGAACCAACAACAAGTATGACCCACGTACGAAATGAGGCAAGTGATTTGCTACAGAGGTTAATAGTTTTTGAAGGACTGGATCTGGAATTGAACACAATTGGAGACACTGAACAACATTATCATGAATCGGACGATGACTTTGACCCTGAAAAAAACTTTTTTAAGAACTCTGAAAATAACTACAAGTATTACACGGATGAGCAGTTTAACAGCAATATCAAGACTGAAAACAAATGATCATAATTCACTTCAATATCAGAAGTTTATACGCAAACTTTCAGAGTATAAAACATTATCTTAGTAGTCTTAAACATTCTTTTAATATAATTGCTATTTCTGAAAGTTGGATGAATAATGTAAGGGGAATGGATTTTGACCTTGAGGGCTATGACTTGGTATGCACACACAGAGAGAATAAGATGGGAGGTGGTGTGGCCTTGTACACAGATAAAAACTTTTGTTGTAAGAAAGTGAAGAAAATGTCAAGGGTGGTGGATAATTTGCTGGAGTGTGTGACTGTAGAAATACTCGTGGAAAAAAAGAAAAATGTTGTAATAAGCTGTATTTATAGAGCACCTGGAGCCAGCATAGAAAA